GTGTGTGGCGGGCGGAGCTGGGGGGATTTGGCATTCGTTCGGATCCTCCAACTGGCACTCACGTGACCTGATCAATCACCTTGTCACCTTACACCGTCTTTTGCTCTTTCCCTTCCATCAACCCCCGACAAAAACGTTTCGCTCGCTCCTTCTCTGGTTCTCAGGTATCCATCTTACTTACTTACCCTTAGCCCTTTTGGCCATTTGGTTTGCAGCGTTGTTGTTTTTTTTCTTTTTTGCACGCCTCGTCCGGTCCGGTTTGGTCGGCCATGACTGGCGCGACCGATTTTCTCCCAGGTACAATTCATCCTATACATAAAACATACACTTGGATTTTTCCGATGCACTCACAAAACACGATTGCACACACACACACACAAATGGCAACGTGAAAAATACATATACTTATTCAATATTTTCCTTGAATTTTTACTATGAGGGAGGGCTAAGCATCTGTTCAACAGCAATTTTCACGATTACAGATCATGAATCTGTGCTGCTTCGTTGTAGTAGTGTGTTCTTATGTAGATCGGTCAGTCCACTATCAGTTCCCCCGAACAGACGAGTCTTAGCGATTGCAGGAGAGTAGTGAGGGATTTGATTTGGAAATTTTAGCAGATTTCATTGTTTACGGAGGAGCCAAGGAAACGCGCGTTGAAATCCCGGGAAGCATTTGACAGTGGTCTCGATCCGGTTGGAACTAATCAGCCGCGTGAATCGATCGGCCTTGCTGAGGATCGAACCCGATAGCTCACAGATTGATCGATACAGCGCGATCAGTTTTTGCGAGCCTCGTGTGTTGATCCCACCTCGAACGGTGAACTTGATCCGAATGAGTGCTGATCGCAAACGATTACATTTGAAGTGCCAGGGTGCAATTTATCGAGCCAATTGGAAAAGGATTTCTCGAAGGGTCTGCAACATTCTGTGTGTGTATTCCTGTCTAGTTTGTTTAGACACTCCACATTGGAAACGGCTCTCTATTGAAATACCGATCAATGCTTTCTCTAGGGATGGGCACAATCGCAAGAGGTCGGATGACAAGGCTGTTTAGCCTGATCACTTGATCCAAACTAAGACTAATGGAGCTTAATGAGGCTTATTTGTCACATTTTTTATACTATATCCCATGCTAAGGGATCATAGTACAAAACAACGTATCCTAGTGTTCAAAGTGTGGTCATTCGCCAATAGAAGTGGTTAGGAAACTGTTTGTGATAACCAACAAAGAGCATCGGCACAGCTGTTTCGTCCTGTTTGGGACTTGTCAGCAGTGCACGTACTTTTTGC